CATGCATGAGAGAGCTTATGCGCCGTTGAACCTCGGGTTGTGGCAGGAGCACACGACCTGGCAAAGCTGCGCTCCCAACTGCGATATCTTCACCTTAGCCAACTCGTGCATCCGCGGGCGAGAACGCGAGATAACCAGCAGTGATTGCGTTCGTCGAGGCATTGCCGCTCCTGGCATCCAGCCAGGGCACTGGCCCCCCTGCTGGTAGAAGCGATCCTTTTCTTGAAAGGTTGGTCCGGTGGCTGCTGCTGCTGCTGCTAGCTGCCTCGCTTGCTTGCGTGTGGGGAAGAAGAAGAAAGTGGGCCTCGTATCTCCAGCTGTCGCCAGCACCGGAGCAGTGCAGAAGCCATGGACAACAGTCATCAGCCACCAGCAAAGGAAGTGCTGGACCGGGCGCAGGTCCGGCTTCATCTTGCACTAGGCTGCCGAAGAATGCTGAAAGGCAGCAGTGGAGCAGGGCACTGGAGCGCTGTTGGACCGCAGAGATTGCGCAATGCGGTAGTGCGATAGCGGTACCCGGTGCACCTTAGCTCTCGCTCTGCCTCCAATCAGCCCATCCACGCATGTCCATCTCTTCTCGGTCGTGTGGATGAGGTATAAATGGCAGGCTTCTCTCGCTGTTCAATCGTCCCCGGACCCCTCATCTAAGGATCATCCCTCCCCTTCACCCCTCTTCCACCTTCTCCGTCTTACCCCTTCCCTCTCGACCACAACGGGTAGATACAACTTCCCTCTCAGTCCCCCCTTTTCCCCCCATCCTTCGTCGTCGCCATGTCGCAAAAGCCCGAGCAGGTGACGTCCGAGATCGAGGCGCTGCCTCGTGAGGATCGCACACCCTCTCTCAACGAAAAGGAAGCTTATGTCAACGAAAAGACTCCAGCTCCTGAAGCTTTGTCCTACGAGAAGGATGTCCATCAAGCAGAAGGTCAATACGATGAGTCAACAGAACGCATGACCACCGCCGATCTCATGGCTGGCAACCCCTTCCCCGAAGAGACTCTGCCCCATGAAGATTACCAGCTCACCATTCGTGCCATTGTCGTTGGTACCGCGCTCGGTATGGTCATTGGTGCAAGCAATGTCTATCTCGGTCTCAAGACTGGTTTCACCTTCTCCGGCTCCCTATTCGGCGGTATTCTCGGCTTCGGTGTCATCGCCCTCATGGCCAAGACTTTGCCCACCTACCTCGGTGGTGGCTCTT